TACACTGGCGTCCAGAGATCCCAAGTTTGGAGTGAAACGACATTGTTCACTGCAGCCAAAATGTGTCTAGAATCTCAGTCTACCCGGAACAGAACAGAGTGATGGTGAAGGAGACGGGGGCTGGTAGGGCAAAAATATTTCTCCAACGTGGTATGAATTTGGCATTAACAGGGCGCCAACTCCAGACCACAGAGAGAGGCACCCTTTGTCAGCCCACTTCCCCAACCGTTTTTGGCAAGATAAAGCTCCATTTGAGAGACAGGGGCCTGTGTACAATTCCTGGTTGTCAAAGTACTGAATTGGGTCCAGCTAATGAATATCGAAGTCAGCCTCACCAAAACTAAGTAACTTTCTGATACGCCTTTTCCAGATTCCTAGAGGGGACCAATGTGAATGCAAAGAAAATATAATGACTGGAAACGAAAGTATAGACTCTATTAAATGAGAGTATAGACTCTATTAAATGAGAGTATAGACTCTATTAAATCAAAGTATAGACTCTATTAAATGGGTTGTTCTCAGTATAGACTCTATTAAATGGGTTGTTCTTAGTATAGACTCTATTAAATGGGTTGTTCTTTCAAAAATTCTTGATTTTTAATCTAAACTGCCAAGATGACTAGTCTGCTTCTTTAGATTTAATACAATTTTTCATTTAATTTCTGTGAATGAAAACCATCTCCTAAGTACTTAGAAAATGTAATTATTGGCGCTGCCTCTGACCACTGGTCATACCACTTAGAGAAATGCAGCTCCGTAACTCCTTTCCACTTATGATACAAATCTTCCTTAAAATATAATTAAATACAGTACCACTATGTTTCCTCTCCTCTTCAAATTCTATTCTTTAAATGCTTCTAAGCACATTTAATCCATTCGCTTCCCAGAATGTACCGGGGACTTACTCTGTGCCAGACCTGAGGATACAGTCGTGAGTAAGTTGTGCATCCGGCCTCGGGGCTTGCTGCCCACTGCGAGAGATGGCGAAACGGCTGGGAAATGCGTGGAAATGGGAGAAGTGCCGGAGCAGGGCACAGACAAGATTCAAGGGGACAGCGCGCAGGAGTCACCAACCAACCAGGAAGGTCCTGGAGGGCTGTGACCAGGCCGTGCTGCTCCACATGGCGCCAGGAACTGGCCTGCCCACCACGTGGAGCCCGCAGGTGCTGTTCTAAGGCTCCAGAAACTGCCCTGCCCACACGTGGAGTGCACATGTGCCGTTCCACGGAACTGTCCTGCCAACCGCTGGGAGCGCACATGTGCTGTTCCACGGAACTGTCCTGCCCACCACGTGGAGTGCATGCATGCCGTTCCACGGGACTGCCCTGCCCACCACATGGAGTGCATGCGTGCCGTTCCATGGAACTGTCCTGCCCACCGCGGGGACCACACAGGTGCCATTCCACGGAACTGTCCTGCCCACCACGTGGAGTGCACGCGTGCCGTTCCACGGGACTGCCCTGCCCACCGCAGGGACCACACAGGTGCCATTCCACGGAACTGTCCTGCCCACCACGTGGAGTGCACGCGTGCCGTTCCACGGGACTGCCCTGCCCACCGCAGGGACCACACAGGTGCCATTCCACGGAACTGTCCTGCCCACCACGTGGAGCGCACGCGTCCCCTTCCATGGAACTGCCCTGCCCACTACGAGGAGGCACGCGTGCCCTTCCATGGAACTGCCCTGCCCACTACAAGGAGGCATGCGTGCCCTTCCATGGAACTGCCCTGCCCACCGCGGGGAGCGCGCAGGTGCAGGGGGCTGGGAAGAAAGCGTGGAAGCACCAGAGCAAAGACGTCCCTGTCTCCACGACCTCACTCGACCTCCGCCAGCACCACACCCTTGCCCCCACCAGGAATGACAGGACTGTCTGTTCCGTTCTAGAAAGGAGCGCGGTGGGAATCAAAAGGGCGAATGTGGGCGAGAGCACAGGGTCTCACGGACCCGCACCCAGGGCCGCGCTGCTGCTGCTTCTCCCGGCAGAAGAGGCTCCAATCACAGGCAGGCAGGGAAGGCCTGCTGTCAGCTCAGAACGGGCTTCTGTTCCATAGAAACGCCACAGCCCGGGCCCTCGGAGCTGGACGGGCCTGCACAGATCTCAGGAGGCCGAAGGCAGCAGCTCTGGTCTCTCTGGGGACGAAGGAACGCTTCCAGGCCCTGTCGCCAAAGGGAGGCACTTCCCACAGCCGGCGTCCCGGCTTTCTCACCTGTGGCGGTTCCTTTCTTTCTAGCACCCCATTGCACTGACAGAGCGAGACAACAAGAGGCTTGTCCCTTCCAGTGCTTTCTCCGTAGTCCCCTCATCACCTTGGCACTGTGGACGGACCACTCAGGGAAAGCGGATTCCGAGGTGCGTTGGGAAGACCTGGGTTTCCAGTCAGCTCTTGCCTTCATAAGTAAACACATGGCAGCGCCCTGCAGCCGTGGGGCTTCCACGCCGGCCCTCTCCTCCTACAGAGGAGGGCTCTCCACACCCGTCAACCCGTCAACCCGAGGCAGCGTCTCCCCAAGATCCCCACCGACTTCAAAGGAAAGGCAGAACGTCACACCGGGGAAAGCCAGCAGGCACCACCCAGCAGAGAACACGGGGCGCTGGCACTCAGAAGGCATTTTACTGTCCATACCCCGATAGGGTGCCCTCAGAGCACAGTGACCTGAGCAGCTCTCCTGCCCCAAACACGTCATCTACCTTAACTTAACCACGAGGGAGAAACCAGACGAACGCAAACTGAGGGGAGCTCTTCAAATGAACTAACCTGGTACCTTTCAAAGTCATAAATGGCAAGGAAGAACTGAGTGGCAGATTAGAAGACGCTAAGGAGACACGACGACTTAAGTAAACATGGGGTCCCAAATCTGATCCTTAACCAGGGAAAATGGGAAAGAGGCAGGGTGCAGAGGCAGCCAGATGCCACGTGGCCAGCTGTGTCCCTCAGGTCCTGGAGAATGCCAGCAGAGTGTGTACATGCATGCCTGAAATCCAGAAAGGGGGGGGAATGGAGGAGAAGGGATTGTGGCATGACCAGTCCCCTTAAAGGGTGCTCTCTCTCTTTCCCCCTCTCTCTCTCTCCAGCAAGCGTAGGTGCCCTCAGATGTCTTCTAGAAATTTTTAAAAGAAAAGAAATAAAAACTGGAGAAGTCAGACGAAGGTGGCGGTGTGCCCCGCTGTTGATGGGTTAGCTTGACAACTTTACTAACACTGCGCAGACTCAACATCAGACAAAACCGGGCAGGCGGCAGCGTGGGTACACAGGAATGTTCTGTACCATTTTTGCAACTTTTCTATGTCTGCCACTATTACCAATAAAAAGTTTAAAAATTCAAATGACAACTTAGTGGAACTTGCTTTGATATTCCAGCTTGGTCACAGGTTCACTGAAATTCCTTTTCTTAAAAAAAAAATGTATTCCATGAGTGACAAAGAGAGATTGAGAGAAAAACTGCACCCCTACAATGGAGACTTGACGCGGTGACCACCCCCGCCTCAGCCAGCTCGGATCACGTCCACACGCAGCCCTGCACCCAGGGAGGTCTCCGGGCTTGAACCAGGAACCTCCCTACGTGGGCCAGCCTTGCCAAGTGTCCACTGAAACTCTCTATCTTCGATGACTCTTCCTCAGAATCTATGTTTATAAAATAAATTTATGAATTCAAAACCTCTATTTATTGCCAATACAATAGTAGAGTGAACGCATCTGCAAACCATTTCATAAGTAAAAAGAGAATAAAAATAATAATAACCATGATTAACACATTTAAGAGTGACAAGGTCAGTGGGGCGACAGGTGGCATGGTGGTTCAGGGGTTCAGGGTGCTGTACTCCCACATGGCCAACCACATGGTCAATCATGGTTCGAGTCCCGGACTTGGCAGCTTGCTTTCTCTCTCTCTCTCTCTCTCTCTCTCTCTCTCTCGGTGTTCCTCTCTGATCAAATTAAAACATAAATAAATAAATAAATAAAGTTCAGTAAAATAATTATTAAAAAGAAAAGAGTCACAAGGTCAGGGCTATGCGTTTTTGTCAGAAGACTGGGAATGACCTGGAACTTCACCGGCATGTCTTTATCAGGCTTCAGGGTCAGGTAGTGGCAGGGGCTCTTCCGCCCTCCCTCCTCGCACGCAGTCCCCTCTGTCCATGCCCCCACGGCTTCCTCCACAAGAAGGAGGCAGCTGAACCGGCTGATTCCTGACAGCCTTACTGCATTTTGATTACGAGGGGATTACAGAGGGTCATAGGAAAATGATGGAAGTAAAGCATGAGTTTATTTTGGCAAAAAATAATAATAATAATAATAATAATCCATGTAGAGCTTTTTTTTTTTTTTTTGGTTTTTTACTACAGGGCATATGTACTCACTGGAGAGAGACAGAGAGGGGAAGTGAGAAATCACCCCCTGGGGGAATGGCTATGCCACAATTCCTGCTCTTTTGCTCTCCTTTTGGGATTTCGGGAGCATGTACACATGCTCACACTCACACCTGGCATGATTCTTAAACCACCGGGTCTGGGACTCGAACAGCAGGGTGGGTCATGTGGGATCTAGCACCTTAACCACCACACCATCTGCTGGACCCTGCCTCCCGCTCTTATATCTATCCCTGCCTCATGTCTAGGCAGGTGGGAGTCACAAAACCTTGCCTATTTCCTTTCCCTGAACAGCAGGTTGAGGGCGGACGGATCAGGAAGGGGAGGAGGAATGCTCCTCAGAGGGAGGCAGTGGGGTCTGGGAGCTTGCAGAAGGACTCTGCAGACACTCGCGTAGCTGCTAGCATGACGTTGGTCTCCCCTGAACTGTGGCTCTCGTGCGCAAGCCCTCAGGACCCCTGCAGGGACAACGCCACTCAGGCACCCTAACCGTCACCTGCGTAACCTATCAAGAACCTCACCCACCTCCTAACAGCGAGTCGGAGGGGACCATCGTGACTGTCCTCGAGGCAGAGCGAGACAGCTGTGAGAGGAGGGAGCAGCGCGAGCCCAGGACACCGCGCCCCACGTTACCTTCTTAATGAACGCCACTGAGAATGTGTCCCAGGACACGATGCCGTGGTCCATCAGCTCCACGAAGGCCGTCAGGGTGAAGGACAGCATGTCTCCAAAGCTGCGGACAGAGGGAGGCGCAGAGTTATGGACCCCAGAGCCGAGCACAAGGAAAGACCCCCAAGTGAGAAACCTTTAGGAAACAATGCGAGAAGTTTTGGGGTACAAAGCTGGGTTGCAGAAAACTTCCCCGCAAACAGGAGTTATGGGAAGGGCAGGGGGGTGGCATGGCCAAGGCGAGGCAGGGTCTCAGAGCTAGACAGGCCTGGCCTCCCTCACTCTCTCTGTGTCCTGGGAAATTCACTTAACTTCTCTGAGCCTCTGTTCTTGGATGGATAACTAGGTACTAATATCTATCAAACCACAGGGCTGGTAAAGTGTGCAGCATAGAGGCACGCAGCAAATAGCAGCTTCTAAAGCCTCATGGTGGCATGGTGGTTGGTGCTGGACCCCCACATTGGCCAAATGTGGTTCAAGTCCTCAACCGGCAACTTGAAGCTCACACTGGGTGCGTGTGCATGAATGCCCAAAATCCAGAGAGCAGAATGCAGGAGAAGGGATTGTGGCATGGCCATCCATCCTCCTTCCATCTCTCTCTGTCTCTCTGGCAACTGCACGCACACTATGGAAAAAAAAATTAAAAATAAATAAATAAATGAAAAAGCCTCATGATGAAGAAAAGTCAGGAGGGCTAAGACAAAGCCATAGACTTCTATCATCCACAAGCATCAAAAGGGGAGGTTAAAATAGTTCTACTAGGGCCAGCAGGTGGCATAGTGGTTTAAGAATACCACATAGCCCGCTATGGTTCGAGTCCTGGACCTGGTGGCTTGCTTTCTCAGTTTCCTTAGCTCTCTTGTTCTGTCCCTCTCTGGTCAAATTAAAATTAATTAATTAATTAATTAATTAAGTTAATTAAATAATTCTTAAGAACATTCTACTAAGAGCATTAACACTTTGGAAAGGATTCGAGCGGCCTGTAGAAGCCCGGATGTGTAAACACAGGTACAGCCAAACGTGGGCGTGAGGATATTCGTCATGCTGTGACGCCGGCCAGCATTTGATCTTCACCTGGCAGGCTCCGAAGACGAGGGTTTCACATAAGAGTCTGCTGACCGTGCCACTCGCGTGGTCTGAAAGGAGGGGTTGTGGTCGGGGTCGGAGAGGTGATGACGGCTCAGGCAGAGCACTGTCCTCCCCGCAGTGCTGCCCGGGCTCCCAGACACCTGGGCTTCCGGTCCTTGCAGAGCGGCGCTTCCCAGCACCCAGACTGAGCCTTCAGACAGTGACTGTCACCATAAATACGAACGAAACCTTCAGGCTCAGCTAAAGGTGGCTGTTCAGCTCTTCACTCTATAGACTCGCATGCTCCATCATGACTACACGACAGTCCCCTAACATTCTTAGCTGGGTCTTCCCGCTGTTTTTAATATTGGGTCATCAGAAAGGCATGACATCATTTTCTGATTTTCTATGCAAAGATGCATGACTTTTCCAACGACCCAGTAGGAAACCATATTGCTTTTTTTTTTTTTTTTGGTTTTACAATTTTCCTTTTTTCTACTATTATAGTCAGCCTACCCTCAAAAACTATCCTTGATTTCCTGGATTGCCTTAGAAGCTGTGCTGCTGCAAGCAAGCTGAGAAGGGGAGGCGGCCATCAGGGAGGGCCCAGCCCAGCTGGCAGAGACCACAGGGAGGGGGCGCACCAGGGGGATGGCTATGTGGCTGGTCTCCATATCCGACAGTGGAGGTCCCCCAGGGCCCAGCCCAGCTGGCAGAGAGCACAGGGAGGGGGCGCACCAGGGGGATGGCTATGTGGCTGGTCTCCATATCCGACAGTGGAGGTCCCCCAGTGCTACCCGAGCACGTTCACACTCCTACGCTTCGGTTTGCTCGTTTATGGGAGTGAAGGCGGTGGCGGTGGCGGTGCTGGGACCTGCTGGGAGGCTGCTGAAAACTGCAGCGAGCTGCCATGCACCAGGCCCTGAGAGCAGGCCCGGGCAGCAACAAGGGGCTCATGGGGGCCAGCTGTTGCCAGGTGCGTGAGCTGTGCATGCCCAAGGAAGGGCAGACAACACGCTCAGCGACACTGCCACGCTCAGCAGGCTGAAGCCACAAGGGAAGGCCTGGGCTCCCATACCCAGGTGGCTCCCGCTGTCTGAGGCTGGGGCTGATCACAGTGTGAAGACCCTGTGGGGGTGGGTGCCCGTCTCTGTCTCTTTCTGTCTCATGGAGAAAATAAACTGATAAAAAACAGTGACTGAAGTCCATGGTTTTGAAATGTTGTGCCTTTATCGTGTCAAGCATTCTCTATTCTTTGAACCAGAAAATAATATTAATAATAACGATGATGAAGATGCAAGGAAAGCCAAACCGTTCGGGCCAGAAGGCAAAGCAGTGGCTTCTGAGAGGACCGGAGGAAGCACCAGTCTCCCGGGTCCCCCTAGGGGGCATCAGAGGCTCATGCCTCAGAAGTTCCTTTCCAGAAAACACAAACTTACTGAAGGAGAGGAGAAAAAACTAGAAGTACAGGTGGAAATGGGTTAAAAAGAGGAGCGAGAAAGGAGAAATTAAAATTCCAGAGCGACTCTTCCTACAGACAACAAGGCCCAGAAAACCCAAACATCAGACTGTAGAGAAGGAAGGGCCTCGAGAGGCCCAGAGCCGGGTAGTGAAGGCAGTGGGTGGGCTGGGGAGGTAGGGCTTAGTCTACTGTGAAAACACGGCATAATGGCAGGCAGTACTAAGGGCAAACCTCAGCTCCTGTGCTTTACTTTACAGGAGGAAAAGTAACCATATAGGAATAGTCGCCATGGCTTCTACCTGGTATGCTGAAAGACTTCAAAGGACACAGGGCTCCACACACGCTGTCGGAGGCCTGCACCCTGCCCCCAAGGTGCGAGAGAACCTTCTCCATGAGGCCGGTAACAGAACAGCATGGAGTGGCAGTGGCAAAGGAGGACACGCACTCTGGGAATCGAACTCCATACCCTGGCTGGACGTCCGCCAGCAAGAACGCACGTGTCGGCGTCTTCACGGCACCACAGGTGTGCTCTCCGGCTATCTGAGGGCAGCGCCACTGTTCCCAGCTACCTGTCCCAGGGATGCTAACCCTGGATGAACTGAAACTTGGACTGGGGCACAGTGTTCCCTAAAGTGCTCCAGAATTCTGTTCACAGACCCCTCAGACTGGCTGCAGGGATCTTGAAGGGAAAATGGAGAGAAGAGTGGATACCATTGGTTTCTAAGTCCCTAAACTGGCTCCGAGGCCAGGATTTCAACCTCCACAGCCGTAACAGAGGCCCCACCATGTCCGGGACTGAGGAACTGCAGGAACGGCTCTCTGGGCTTTTCAGTTACACATCGATGCAAATGACTGGTGAGGGGAAGGCTTGTCCCATCGAGCGCCAACCGAGGTGTGCAGAGGGGAAGGCTCCTTCCCATCGAGCGCCAACCGAGGTATGCAGAGAGGGAAGGCCTCTTCCCATCAAGTGCCAACCGAGGTGTGCAGAGGTGAAGGCCTCTTCCCATCGAGCGCCAACCGAGGTGTGCAGAGGGGAAGGCCTCTTCCCATCGAGCGCCAACCAAGGTGTGCAGAGGAAACGTCCTTCTCCTGATCCATCTAATCACATGCTTGATAGATAAATAGATTTATATTCCATAATGCATTCTATATCAGTGGACTATTATTACGATGTATGTTGTGTAATAAAATGCATATGAAATATATGCATATAAAATGCATATTATACATGCTTTGCGCACAACATACATAATTCATTACGACTCGTTGAAGGGTGGCATAGGTTTCCATGAGGTGAACTTTTTCAATTAAACTTCAAACACTCAATGGCAAGGAAAGGGTGACTGCCGGGGTCTAGCCTCGGCGTGGGTGGGTTATTTTGACGGAGGCAGCAAAGGTGAATAGAAGACAGAGGCCTTGATGCTTTTATGCACGTCTTATGCCGGACACACTTTAAAGATTGTTTTCTGAGGAGTGACAACTGTTAGGAATCATCGTGCCTTTTTATTGAAAATGTGATACATGCAAGTAAATGGGTGAGGGGCAGTAAAAGATTTACTCTAAGGAACAGGGTATACAAAGCATGGAAGCAATAATTATAAAACATGCTGTTTGTCTTGTTAGCTCAGGTAAAGTCAATCACAGTTCTCAGGATGAGGAAGTCCATTTGTCTGCTGTATCTTCTCCTTAGATCTTGATTACTGGGAAGAGTCTTTTGAAGAGGGGGCTTGCAGGATGTTTGACAACTTCAGTCCCGGGCCAGGGCGATAACGTTGCTGGTTACAATGACCTAGATGGAAATCTTGTCTTGCTAAGTAAAGACACAGTTAATATATGGACTATCTATACATTACAACAATAGAGGATGAGTCTATGATCTTATATGGGAAAGGAAGATGATCTTGTAGCTCCGGAGACAACACAGGATGTTTTATTAGCAGTTTTTCATAGTCAACAGCACATAGATGAGAAACTCTTTGTAGTTGAAAGCTACCTGTTGCTTTAGATAAGAACTCCCAGCTAAAATGGTTAATCTTTCTGTGGAGCCCTCAGCTTTGTTTATTCTGTTGTCCCATCCAGGCTTTTTCCTCTAATAAATCTGTGGGTTCCTGCATTTTGTTTGTTGAGTCTTGTCAATTAGTGAGTTCTTTTGTTTTATCTCTGAGTCTCTGTTATGTGGTGAATGTGCTGACTTTGCTAGTGTGAGTTAACTTTGGCCTGTAGCTTTAACAAGGGGTATGTAAGTAAAACTAACCTTAAACTAACTCAGTCTACATATGCTTCTAATGCTAATTTGGTTTATACTAACTTAATCTATATGTTAATTTTGGCTTAAAAACAGACAGGTGGGGGAGTCTTAAACTTCCTGATCCTCCTGTCAGTCTTAGGGAACCACATTCCTACAAGAGCACTAATTGGCTTTATTGCAATTGTTGGGGGTGATGTTTTACCCTTGCAGGGTACCGTAA